TATGAATCAAACAGCTTCATGACATAGTACAAATCTAGAAAGATCATTATTAACAGTAAAGATAAGGACCGACCAGTGAATGTTGCTCGGAACGCGACAATAAATTCGTTTACTGGCACCTGACACTTTTATAGGTACGAGCTATTTATCCAAACTTTATCACTAAAATTATCATAAATACGCAAATTCTGGATGCTCAGTTAGTACAGTGACGGGGACAGGTAGGCTTATTTGCATACAGTCATGTGTGGTCGTTTTGCAAGCACACGGTGTAATAATTTGCATGTTTCAAGGGATGATCACTATTTTTGAAAGGAAATGCAAGGAGCGGTCTCTTATCACTCAGCTAGCGTTGCTACTTCTCTCTATTTCTTCACAGTAAAAGAGAATTTCATTTTTATGGGGCCAGAAAAAAATGAATTAATCATTGGCGACGCGCACTGGGCAGGCCCATGCAATCATGTGTTCTTGCAGTATTTTGCGCTGTAGTAAGATTGCTTGGAATCTGAGCAGCTAGAATTTCTGGCATACTGGTCCCCAGTCCTCAAAGTCCTCAAAGTTGAGTAAGTTAATTGTGCAGCTGCATGGCACTTAGTAAAGGACTTGGTTTTTTTCGCCAAAAATTCTAGCGCGGCGGCACGCGAGAACTACTCGCAACTAGGATCTGAATTTGAAATCTTTGAGTTCTACCTGAACAGGGAGCATTCCTTCAAAATTTCAGAATCTCAACTTTTCTGGTTTCCAAACTAGCAATTTCCCCCGCTCCCCTTTCCCGCCCCCTCAAAAAACATTCACAGGGCTGTACTTGAGTACCACGCGTAACTGGGGACTGAATTTGAAATCTTTAGGTCGTATATGGGTTGAAAATTTCAGTCTTCCAGCTTTTCTGGTTCTTGAGTTAGTGATTCTCCCCTGAAACTTTCATGTGGTCGTACGTGGGGTCCAGATCTGGCGTAGGTTGCTACCGCAGTGCTGGGGTGGCAGTGCGCCGGGGAACCCCCTGGCAAAGTTTTGGCGCCGGAACTTGCCTGGTCACTGAGTTGAAATACCCGGACAGACGCAGACGCACACACACACGCCGAGATTTTCGCAACATGCGTTTTTGCTAGTTGTAGCAGCGCTGTAGCGCCGCACAGCAAAAACGCATAAAAAATCCAATGGACAGGGCATGTTGTTCGCCTTACTGACAACCGATGGACAACATGTATCAATGACTGGTACTTGCGAGAAAATAAACGACCATTCAAGCGGCCCGGAAGTGCTGTACATACTCGTACAGGCTTGCTTATTAACTAAAAACATGCAAAATAGGGTGGGAAGGCGCCCAAGTGCATTTCGTTAAAATCTTTAACAGCGGGCCCCCACACCATAATCGAAATTTATGAAGCTCAATTTGTCACTGGCACACACCACTCGCTTTCTTAGCAGAATTGACTGAAATGACCAGTCAGTCACATATGCCGGAAGCATATATCCATCCAGCCAAATAATCCCTCAAAATTTTGTTAAAGCATCAGTGCTTCAGTATTCTTTCAAGGAAAAATAGGCAACTTCTGCAGGACACGAAACGAACATCTGGATGGTTAGCAAATTGGCCATTAGGCTATTATGCACCACTGGTTAGCTGTAGAGCACCTGAAGACCTGTAGCTGATCAAGATAGCGAAGAATGAAATCTGAAC